CCTGTCTGTACAAGCTCTCCCTTCAGTTTTAAATTAATAAATAAAAAAATAAAAAGCAGAAATGATCAAATTTTATATTTTAAAAGTAAACTCAGTATAAGAAAGAACAGAGAACTACTATAGCGACGCTATCGTTTATATTTTTGTCTCAAATCTGCTATCAAACCAAACGGTCTCTTATAAATAAAAACACTTATCAGCAGGCTACACAATGAGTGTGAATGAACTTTAATTTAAATTCCAATAGTGTGATCTTTGGTCTTGAGTGATTGGTGCAGATGCTGTTTCTTCAGATCTATCTATCAATATGTAGAGATGTGTGTGATTTAAATGGATGACTTTAGGCTTTGTAGGTGACTTAGCACAAAAGAAGAAAAACTCCTAATGTCTAAGTCAATATACACGGACAATTTGTTGAAATGGAAGCATGTCAGTTTATGAGAGACGGATACAAACAGCCTCACATAGCCATTTCACAGCTTTATGTGAAACTGCCAAACCTTCCGTTTATTAATGCAACAATAGCAATCAGAGCAGGTGGTATGTAGCTCAATGGGTAGAGTGTTGCATCAACACATTCATACTGCAATTATTTTTGACAGATTACGACTGTAATGTGATTCACTATTAGTGGAAATTATCTGTTTTACAATCATAATGATGCGACATCTTTTGGGGTCGGTAGCAGACAAACATTCTTAAATTTGGAGAACAGGATTTGTAGGCCATACTTCATTATAATACTGTTTTGTGATACATTTTACCTTCTGCAGCTTCTGCGATTTGGATATTGCACTTGGACAAATTGTGACAACTTTTTCTCTAATGCTTACCTGTTGGTACTGGGAATATTTAATAGGATCCTTCTCAAACACTTCATACGTCTGAGACTCCAGGTTGTCCATGAGTGGCTGAAGGAAAGAAGGAAAAAATATAGTCAGTCAGTCTCACAACAATTTGTTTCAATAATGTGTGATCACAAATGAGCACTTCCTCACCTGGAGGGGAGACTGCAGGTAGTCTTCATAGCCCTTGGCAAAGAGCTCGTAGGCATTGGGTGCAGGCCGGTTCTGGTTGAGGTATTCCAGGTACTGCAGGTAGGATCGGAAGTCCTTTTCAGTGTGGCGACTGGTTCCCGTGAAGATGAACTGGGCCTCCAACTATCAGAAGACATTTTTATTAAAGCAACACATCTGCATTTGGCTGGTGATTCATTTCGGTTGAATGTGCTGAATTATACCTTGAAAAGAGAGAAGATTATACGCTGATGGGCTTTTGACAAAACAGGGAAGCCCTTTTTATTTGTTAGGAAGATGCTGGTGGGAAGTATGGCTGCTTTGATAGGTTCCCCGAGCCACTTATCGATCACAGCTTCTGACGGCATGTCTGCTCCAACTTCAATAGCTTCAGGAATAAAAAAAAAAAAAAAGTACATTTTCAGTAGCAGACACAACCATAATTATTTCTTAATGCACTGACTTTGCTGCAGGCTGTTGCTTCACAATGTGCTTTCTCACCGAGACAGATCCTCTTGTTGTAATCACAAAGGGTTCTTAATGAGTGCCACCTAAAAGAGCAGAGGCAAGTAAACAAAATGAGTCTGGATTCTAAAGGAAATCAATGACAGCTGTTTTAGCATGCAGACAGCAGTCGACTGTTAAGGAAGTGGACTCATGTGAAACTAACCAGCTCCAGGTCTTCTCATCAACACTTGTGTCGTCGATGCAAGTGCTCGGTTCATTCTCAATCAGGTCTTCCCGCATGTCCTCTGGAGCCATCAGCGGGACACGTATCCAGAACTAATCAGACACAGAGGACAAAAGCCGTTAGCTGATGAATTCAGCTGTCTGCCTGACTGACTTCCCTGTTATCAAAAAGCGATCTACATGTGCATGCAGAGTTTATGCTGTGTGTCTTACATTTGAGGTGTGGTGTCCAGTGTGGATGTGATTTAGCAGCAGGCGGGCTAGATTGGCATTATGTGGGCCCTTTATAGGGATCATGAAGACAGGCAGACCCAGGTAGGCGGAGAAGTTTAGCTCCTGTGCCAGAGCCTGGAGAGAAACACAGGAAAAAGAATGATGAGAGCATGGCGGGATGACACAAAAAGACAGATTCAGAGGGTTGGACAGGAGAGACTGGACAAGACAAGTTCACTCGTGCCACTATAACTTGAGATCAAAGAACCCTCTCCTGCAACAACCTCCAGGACGGCCTCAGAGAAAGTGTATGTTGTCAAAGAAATTGTCCCAAGTGAAAACTTACAGCCTCTGAGTTTCTGCGCTCTGTCTCGATTTCTGAATCTGCGTCGATCCATGATGAGAGCTTCCCAACAATAAGAGTATTCCAATCTAGAAAAAAGCATAATGAGTAGTTAATGAAAAGCACTGACTGATATTTTAACATTTCCTGTCAATCCATTGACAATATTAATGATAGCATCTGTCTGTCTTACTGACCCCATAGTTTTCAAATCGGGATGAAAAAAAGGCTTATGCTAACATTTGACCTATAAACTCAATCTTACATGGTATAATATGCCAAACAGAAGTATTAATTATCAATACATTGATATTTAAAATGTCAAAACTGAAACGGTTCTCTGTCTCCTAAGATGTGACTTTTTGAGTCACTTAATATTAATTTAAAATAAAATCTAATATAAATCTAATAGTTTGATTAAATGACTGAACATTTGTAGTTACTATTTTATACCTTAAACTTCTATTTTATAACTTCAATGTCAGATATTTAAAGCCTGTCACATCGTAGATAAAGATAGATGGACTGTGTAAACACCAGGTAAATGTTTAAAAAAAAAACACACAGGATTATGTGTGTGTGTGTGTGTATATATTTATAGCTGATGATGTATATTAACAAATATATTACACTAATCTAAATAAACCTGAGAATAGAAATTGAACTTAAATCAAAGACTGCACCATGACTTAAAATGTATTAAGATATTAGGTAGTGGCCAATAATGCACCATGTATTAGTGACAAATAGGTAATAATATATACTGTAATAATATATAGTGTATTTATATACTGTAATAATATATACTGTACGGTAAGGTGAAGAATTGAGTTGTCATAGTTTAATACTCAACATGCTAAACATGATGAGAACAGGTGGGGGAACCTGGTCTGGATAGATATTAAAATTAAATTATCAAAAATTACTGGAATCAAAGAGCAAAACGCCCATCGTTTAACTTTACACAACATATAATCAATCAATCAATCAATCAATGCTCTCTGGTGTCACAGGAGGCCCATCCCGCCATACTGGGGTACAGTCTAATTTCTTGAAGAACATAAAGTAATGTAAGTCGCATTGATGCCTACTAACGCCTGACATGTCAGAACACGGTCGGCTGGAGACACCAACCTCTCCCACACAGCAGCAGGTCGGACCGGGTCTGGGCACCGGGTCGGGATTTAGCGGGCTCCAACTCAAACTCTCTCCTGAACCTCGAGTGGAACAGGGGCATGCACAGGAAGTCAAACCTGCACCCCGAGAGAAAGAAAGCACACCATTTCAAACACTGATATGAGTTATAATGCCAGGCAGAGGTGAAACGCAAATATATTGCCTTGACTATCCTCCAGCCAGCTCACACATGAACACACTGAACACTAAAACAACAAAGAACAATAAACAGTGCGTAAAGGTGACTGGGACTGGGCACGTGCTAGTAATGCACCGGCTAGCTTAGCAAACATCGCGCATTGACTCTATGCTAGCAACCCCACGCACTGGCATTACGCTACCAGACCAGCGGGTCCCCCTGCTAACATCACTGTCACTTCAAGAGAAGTCTCGGAGTGCAGCACTCTCCTCACCCGAGTTTGGCGACCGCGGCTAACGTGTCTGCTATCTCCGGCACACAGTTCAAGTCTCTCCCGCAGGACACTCTGCTCCCTGTACTAGCGGACGCCATGATTGTAGCCGACTGAATGAGACCACCTCGTTGCTCTGGTTTACGAGGAAACTGACGCCATCTTGGATCTGCAAAGACGCGCATGCTCATTGGGTAACAAGATGATTTAGACCCAAAATGTCTTCGCACGTACTTCAGTTGCATGTCTGTAAATTACCGCGATAACTGAACATCAAGGGTCTTGAGTTTATGAATATTGAACTTCAACAGTTGATGTTTTCATGTCAAAGTCTTTTGTCTTTCTTCTCCACTGTAGTGAAAGACAAATGTTTTTTATGCTGTGAAATACATTACTGTCATAAAAGAATTTTCTTTTTACCATTCACTGTATGTACTTTTTGTTTTTATGAGTAGCATTAAGCGACTCTACAACTTACATTTAATTTTACAACCCCTGTGCTGTAAAATGACAAATAAATTACCTTGTATAAAAATAGAATCGATTTTAAAAATGAGTATTCCATCAGATTAATTATTACTTATATATTTCCATCTTTATTTATTATCTTCAGTTCCTATTCCTAATTTAGTGTTTGTGGCGTGTCTCTGTTCCAGACACAGCCACAGTATGGAAAGTATGGTTGTAGCTTTCCTTTAACAACAAACTGAAAATGATAGAAAGATATATGCATGAACTTGCACACTGCTACCAACATGACTCAACCACTTAGCAGAACATAAGGTTTGCAGAAAGTGGCTTCTCTCTTTGACAGCAGGTGGGATCAAATATCACTTATGTCAACTCAAATGCTTTTGGACACATGGCCTACGTGTGTGTTTGTGTGATTTTGCAAAGCGTCATATTTGGGGGGGCTATAAAAGGGTAAAAACGTTGGTCTTTCAGATTAGACAGTAGATGAGAGGATGAGAGCAGATTACAGCAGTCAACAGTACAAACCATAGTGGGATTTACAAGGTTTATGACTTTGTTTGACCAGTTTTTCCTAAAGATGGACTCTGGTTCAGCCTGTGTTTGAGGAGTACTCTCTGGGAAAGACACTTTGATTTTCTGATCAAGGAATCTATCTGTATCTTCTTCACCTACACCGTTATGGCTTTGGAAGAGATTTGTGGCTTCAAAGACACTCCAGTGCATCACAAGTGGTTTCCTGCCTTTCATTTCGAAGATACAGCCACATCTTTACATATGACTGACTATTACAACCTTGGATTGAGGACACTAAAGACATCCAGGAGAAACAGTGGGATCCCACTGCATTTCTTCATACCAACTTTGCCAAACCCTGCCCCTGCCAACCACAGATCTTTATTCCCATATTCTCCAGCCAACCATTCAGTGACGGTCCGCAGGCCTTTCCCTCTGTCCCATGGAACAACGACCTTGGGTTTCATCTTCCAAGGTGGGGTCATTGCAGCTGCAGACACACGTGCCAGTGCTGGGGGGCTTGTTGCCTGTCCAGAGGTTCATAAGATCACCCCCATTCACTCCCATTTAGTGGTCACCTCCTCTGGTAGCGGTGCAGACTGCATGCTGTGGGAGCGAATTCTGACCCGAGAGATCAGACTCTACCAACTGCGGCACAGACGTTGCCTTTCAATACGTGGCACTGCAAAGCTCCTCTCCTTTATGCTGCACCCCTTCAAAGGGACTGACGTGTGTGTGGCTCTTACACTGTGTGGCTGGGATAAGGATGCAGGTAACACTGACTGTACAAAGAGGTCAGAAGACTTATCCTCTACTACTGATGATAGCTCCTCCGCTGTCTGTAGTAGCCAAGATGTCACTGCAATGGCACACTCTGCATCCCCCAGCAGTGGCCCGAAGCTGATATATGTGTGCAGCGATGGGGCCCGATTGCAGGGGGACATCTTTTCTGTGGGCTCAGGCTCTCCCTATGCATATGGAGTCCTGGATAGAGACCTGAGGTGGAGCCTGAGTAAAGAAGAAGCCATCTCCTTGGCAAGAGAAGCAGTGTTCAGAGCCACTCACAGGGACGCCTACTCAGGAAACAATGTGGACCTCTTCCATATCACAGCGCAGGGATGGAGTCAAAGAAAGAGAGAAAACCTGAAAGAGGAATATTATAGAGACATGGAGAGGAAGGCAAAGATAGTGGAGGGATAAAAGGGGTGGCTGAATTAGATGCTTCAGGGTGAAGCAAAAATGTGGGGTTCCTATAGGGGACTAAAGATTAGAAATAGTGTAAAGCCTCTTTCTGCTACTGGCAGCCGCCTGACTTTATCTTTACTCTTTACTCCATATTTCCATGTATTCCAGCGAAGAATTATATTACTGTAACTTTGAAATATTGTTTAGTTGCGCCTGGGTCACAGTTTACACAGATTTTCATTTACCTATACATCGCAGCGCTAAGTCTTCAGTCCGCCACAAACACAGGGGGCGCTGTGTGATTCCGCCGCCAGGACTTAATAAATGTTCGTACCCATCACACGACGGAAGTTGCTTGCTCATCATACCCTTTCAAAGATGGCTCTTGCTAGTGTGTTGAACAGTGATTGTGCGGATTTTTCATTTGATAATTGTAAGTCTTTTACGTATGGATGTGGACCCGGACAGAGCGGTGCGGGATTTGACACTACGCCGGGAGACGGCCTCAGTTTTTCGGTTAGAAACCCGCTGTGTGCCGCGGACGAGGACGAAGTCGAGAGGAAAATAGAGTTCCTGCATGGAACCACAACCTTAGCGTTTAAAGTAAGTACACGAGTGTCTTATTGTAGCTAACTGGCAACATAAAACCATAACCATGTATGTAGTTGTCAGCTTAGACGCTTGATAAATCATGAAGACGGTAAACTTTGTGCTTTAGAGCTAACACACCGATACATCCCTAACGTTAGCATGCTAACATGGCTACAAACCGCCTTCTCATTGCAGACGGTCACATAACCTTATGGTGGTGTTTTCTGGCATGAAAAGCAACCCCAGAAACCATATGTAGGTTTGACAGTAATGGCCGTAACTTCCTCCTCTGGGGGTCATAAGTCAGTAGCTGTAGTTAGCTATTCTGCCTTGGGGCTTTATTGGCCCCTGATCAGTGCATTAAAGATGTCACTTCTGTAAACAGCACCTGTGCAGCATCCACACGTTTAATTAGATCCATCACATATGGATTAGGCTTATGTTTAAGCTGTTACTTCCCAACACAATAATATAATATAATATAATATAATATAATAATATAGCTGACCTCAGTTTGTATTTACACTGTTACATCAGCTTGTGTGCTTCTAATAGTACAGGTGCTTTCTTTTTGTATTATACAATAACTGCTAGATGTATTGTACATCATTATTCATTTTGAGAATCACATTTTGCATTTGGGACAGATCTGTTTCGACCTTAATAAACTATTTATTCCATTACAGAGTAATTTAACTGCACACCAGAGGATATAGTAGGTCAGAAGTTAATGTGTTCAGTGATGAGAGAGGCTGGCAGAAATGTTGGAACCAGCATTTAAAAATGGATGAGTTTTAAAACTGTCCTGATGAGTATAATAACACACCACAAGGTTGTCTCACAAAAAACAACAAAAACACTATAGGGGAAATGTTCCTTGGATGTCGTAGGAGTAAAGAACAAAGTTAAAGCTCCTAAATAAACAATGTCAACAAGAGTCCAGAGACTTTTACATTCCACGTAAAGAATCCGTCAATGCTGTTATTTTGTTATTATAGACAAATCACTTGAACACCAAAACCAACAAGGAATATATGCTACTAACAAGATTGTCTGATAGCCCTATATACCTTGCCTCGGTGCTATTGTTTTCCAAAAACGATTAAATACTCATAAAAGTGTTGCTTTTGGGTGACCTATCTTTTCATTAAAGGGGAAACAGCCGGTGGAGCATTTTCCTCTCACTGTGTCAGACGAGCAGAGCAGTGTAAATACTGAGCCACATCTCTGCCGTTGGTTTTGGTCTCTGCAGGGGATTTGTTGATAAAAAGAAAAGATAAAGTAACGGCAACTTTATCCCTTAATCCTTGGGGAAGGGGTGGGGGGGTCTGGAGGGGGTCTGGAGGGGGTCCGGCTGGTCGATGAAAACACTCCCTAGCACACATCTCCCTTTGACTGACCTAATGTGCTGTCTTTGCTGTAGCACCATACAGCTGTTGTGACAGTCAGCTCAGTAAAAGTCTTCCCTCTTATCTCACAGCTTTCTGGCAAAGCTGGACCGTAAATTGCTTTTTTTCTGACAGTTGTAGAGCAGCAGCACATTTCTGCCCCATAGGTAATTAAAGTGCATTCCTATATTTGTATGTAGCAATTGTAATGTATTGTTTATTCCAGACTGGTTAGTTTGCACAGCAGACGTTTTGATATGTCGTAGCCAGAAACTGTAATGATTGCTGCATTCCACTGAGGCTGTGTGTCACTGTCACTGGGCCATCAGTACTCTTATTAAGTCCACCATTGTTTTTCCCGCTGTGACAAAGCAAAATATCTGCTGTGCAACCCGTTCATTCATTGTGTCTCCTCAGACACAGTATGATGTGTAATCCATATTTTGAAAAGAAGTTGTGATGTAATGACAACCTGACCCGTCAGTGACTGCTCTGTTGTAACATGGTTCCCTCCTGCTGTAATGTGCCCCCCCCCGCTGTTGCCTCTCTCAGTTCCAGCATGGTGTTATTGTGGCGGTGGACTCTCGGGCCACAGCGGGCTCCTACATCGCCTCACAGACGGTGAAGAAGGTGATTGAGATCAACCCCTACCTGCTGGGTACCATGGCCGGAGGAGCCGCCGACTGTAGCTTCTGGGAGCGCCTGCTGGCCCGCCAGTGCCGCATCTACGAGCTTCGCAACAAGGAGCGCATCTCGGTGGCAGCGGCCTCCAAGCTTCTCGCTAACATGGTGTACCAGTACAAGGGCATGGGACTCAGCATGGGAACCATGGTGTGTGGCTGGGACAAGAGAGGCCCAGGTAAATCCAACTGTACACAACATGCACGTATGGCCTATATCTGTGTTTATCTATTGATCCAGAATTTGATTTGTACTTTAAATAATATAATCATGTATATGGCGATTTTGATATATAATACATTTATCAAATTTCGTCTGATTAAATTTCATTTAGCATTTAACAGCATTTAACATTTTCTCAAAATGAATTTATTTGATAGGTTTCTGTTTATCTATATGTACTTTGGTGGGGTTTGCAGTGTCATTAAGTGAAATATCCAAAAGTAAAAGTGACCTTTTTGTCTAGAAAACTTTTAAAGTCATTATTTTTAGAGCTGCAGCTAATAATTATTTTCATAATCAATTAATCTGCATTTCCCCCCACAATTTAATTCATTGTTTGGTCAATAAAAAACTTTAGAAAACAGTGAAAAGTGCCAAGCTGTCCTCTTCAAATGTCTTGTGTCTGATATTCAGATGGATATCAAAAGATATTCAGTTTACAATGACATTAAACAGTAAAAAGCAGCAGATACTCATATTTTTGCAATTTTTTCTTAATTTTAACTATGCCATAAGAGTTCTTTTTACTTTATTTTGGGGTCTGCTGTTTTTATTCGAGATTTGAGCAATTTGGAATTCTCCATCCCCGGGGTTGTTTTTCTAGTACACTTTTCAGCATGTTTTTTATATTCGTGAGTCAGTTTAGTTGCTTTCGCTGTTATCACCAGCTCACTAGCAGACCAGAGATGTAACACTGCAGATTTCTTTAAAAAAAATAAATCAAGTCTGAGTGACACACTCAAACGTACTCAAGCAAACATTTGTTCCCCACTGTTCGTATGTGATTTACACTGTTTTTGTGTGCAGGGAGTCATGTTTTGGCATGTTAATTTCGAGTTCCAGCTCATGCGGTGAACAAAAATATCCACTTATTTAGATGCACAGATCACACGTTATTTTTTTTTTGTCAGTGTGCTAATGATGACAGACCTGGTACAGGCTTTAGTCCTGAGCAAATCATTTAGATCGCATTCATTCCATCAAAAAGTGAGGTTGAACAGGAGCATTTATTTGTTCCTGATAAGAAACAACAGACTATCTAACCGTAATTACTATTAAATGATTTAATCCTCCAGCTTTTCCTGTCACTTTTATGCACAGAAGTGGAGTTCTTTGTTTTTCTTTGATTAGTAAGTTCTTTGGTTATTTGTGCTGTTGTAGGAAAGTAGAAACACGCATGTAGTTCCCAGAGTTCCCCACTAGATGGTACTGTAACCTCTCTTATACTCTGCCCCTCTTTGTATATTTAAGCTGTGGCTTTCGGATGCCACGCAGCGTGAGGCCGTACATCACAGAAGGTGTGCTTAAAGAGGCCGCCACTGTGACACAGTAATGGGAAATCGATGAAGCTGGGACTACGGGCCAGCAAAAGCGTGGCGGGATGATGGACGTTGGGTCTAAGCCCCGGACAATTGGGTCACATGCATAATGCCTGTACACCCGCTGGGATCGATGCTGGCTTTGTCTGGAAAGCGGAGCTGGCTGTGTGAACAATGACGGCCCACCGGTATACCAACAAACGCAAATGACACGTGTTAAATCCCGGGCAATCAATTGGGGAAATAATGATCCTTGTTCAATAGGTGTGGGAGCTTTGCCATGGCCCCCACAATGCCAATGATTGAATGGAGAGGTAAATGTCATGTAAATTAAATCAATCGCGATTAGACAGGAAGCTCATTAGCCGGCTACAATCATGTCAAGAGCACTTATTCCCCTGATGGAGTGTCTTAAGCTGCATGAAAAATAAATCAAATAAAAGCTATGTTGAGGAGCTTGTGAAATATGGCTCAATGTAATAAAATTAAATGTTATGACACTTCATCAGTGCATAGTTAAAGCTTGATAGCTCGATAGTGGCTTTGCTTTCGACAGAAAAGCAACTATACTCTGCGTAGCGTCCTCTTGGGCTCACTTCAGAGACGGAAAGGGTTTTGCCAGTAAACTGATATGGGATGTAGCCCCCGTGACAAAAAAAGAAGAAGAAGAAAGTGTATGATACAAGACCTTGTCAGAGAAGACCCATGTGGCAGCCAGTTTTACAGCCACTCCCAAGAGAGTGATGTAATAGCGTTTTTTTTCCCCCCCTCGGTTCAACTGCTGCTCTTTTTTACTTGTGGTCTGGTGGGAAGG